GGAATGCCATAGGGTTGTAGAAATTTCTTTCCATTTTTTAAGAGAGATTTTTACGATTGGGTGCATGCACTTACTGGAGAGTCAGACAGAAAATGAGAAATCACCACCCTCCTCAGGGGGTTGGCCATGCCACAATCCCTTCTCCTCCATTCTATTCTTGGGATTTTGAGCACATATGTGCACACGCCCAGCATGAGTTTTAAGCCACAGAGCTTGGGTCTTGAACTCAACTATGTGAAAGTCCAGTTATGTAACCATTATGCCGTCTGCTGGTCCTGAAAGAGCTTATTTTCTAAACACTATGTGCTCTTGGACAAATAGCAGGAATTGTGGAGTGGCCTCTAAAGATCTTCATGGCTCATGATTAAAATCAACTTTCAGATTGATTTAGGAAATAAAAGCTATACCTAAAGACACTTTGAATCTACAAAGTTATCATTCCTATATACCAAACATTCAGAAATGTATTTATCTTAAGGTCAAAATGGAGAGGTCAAAAGGAAATATAATACAGAGAACAACTATAATTGAGAATTTTAAGTTGAGAAAACTATGTGAAAAAATAAACTCTCAGGCAATGACAATTTCTTGACCACTGATGAGAAACAAAGTCAAACAAAATAAACACAAGAAGTGAAGTGCTCCTACAGTATGATATAGCAGTCTAATTTTAGTTTACTTAGAAGCAGTTTTTGTTTGTATTTTTGTGAGCTTTGTTTACAAATATTGCATTAGTAGAAATTTAAAATATCATCAGAACATGAATTTATTCTATTGGTAATATCAAATCACTCACATTTTCCCTTTTTACTTATTTATGAAATAGATCATAGGGTTGGTTTTTCATGTACCCTCCATGTACAATGAGAATAGGGACTGTATGGAGAGTGATTGTTGAGATAGTAAAAGAGGCCTAATAACATTTTTTTTTTTTTGGAGAGGTTTTCTTTTTCTTTTTCTTTTTTTTTGCTATAGGGTGCATGCGCTCGCCAGACAGACAGAGAGAGACATAGAGACAGAAAGCGAGAAATCACCCCCCAGGGGGGATGGTCATGCCGCAATCCCTTCTCCTCCATTCTCTTCTCAGGATCTTGGGCATGCACGCACACGCGCCGGGCATGAGTTTTAAGCCACCAGGTCCAGGACGCGAACCATGGTCGACTATGTGGGAGTCCAGCAACATAGCCATTACGCTAACTGCTGGTTCTCATAACATTTTAAAATCAGAAATCGCAAAATGTTTATTCAACCCAAAACAATTACACCCGCTATGTTTTTGTTTTTCTTTCTTCCTTTTTGTTTAACTATTTCCTTTTCACTTTTAAAATGCTTTTAAGTGAACATGCACTTCTAAGATGACAACTCCATAGTTTTGCCTGGCGACACTGCTACCCCAAATGGTCTGAATGCATTCATTCTTTTACTCCACCAAAATTTGTAAGTTTTTAAAAGAAAATTGATTTGCTGAAAATGTAAGGTCAACATCAGCATTCATTCATGAGCTATGTCTTTATTAATGTGTCAGTGTTTACAGGGTACTTTCATATGAAAACATTTTTAATGCCTAACTTCCTAAGTTATTTTGGGAAAAAGACAATATCCATTTTTTTTAGAGGTTTTTGCCTTTGAGTGCGCTTGCCAAAGAGAGAGAGAGAGACAGAGACAATGAGAGAGAAATGAGAAATCACCCTCCCACACCCTCCTTGGGGGATGGCCACACCGCAATCCCTTGGGTATGCATGTACATGTGCCCAGCATGAGTTTCAAGAGATTAGGTCTAGGACTTGAACCACAATCAACCATGTGAGAGTCCAGTGACATAACCACCATGCTGTCTGCTGGTTCCCAAGACAATAATCCCTATAATGAGTATAAAAACTTTAAGTATTTAAAGAAGAAACCTCACATATTAAAAAGGCATTAAAGTAGAATGAACTTTTAAAAAGTCAGTATAAATTCAGGCATCAGGTATAAATGGAAGGAATACCCATTATGTGTTCTCTACCACCATTTTCTTTTTTCTTTTTTTTTTTTGGAGAGGTTTTTCTATAGGGCGTGTGCACTCGCCAGACAGAGAGAGACAGAGAGACAGAAAATGAGAAATCACCCCCCAGGGGGGATGGTCACGCCACAATCCCTTCTCCTCCATTCTCCTCTTGAGATCTTGGGCACGCACACACACGTGCCCGGCGTGAGTTTTAAGCCACCATGTCCGGGACATGAACTGCAACCAACTACGTGGGAGTCCAGTGACATAGCCATTACGCTAACTGCTGGTCCCTCTATCACCATTTTCTTAAGATTTATTTTTGATCTAAGTAAACAGTTTTTGAACTTTACAGTTCAATGTTGGCTAGGGTTAACTTAGTCTAAATTATAATAATTATTTTTATGGTTTGTTATTTACATTTAATCACTGCACATCTCTGTAGCACACAATGTTTTTTTCAAGGTATGCATGCAATCTGTGATAATCAAATCAAGGATATTACCATGAACATAATTTTCAACCTTAATGCCCAAGGATTAACCTTATCTATTACTTTGTCCGTATTTTTCTTCCCATGAGAATAAATGAAACAAAATTCGGAGTCTTAAGGCACATGCTTCCACTATGAATTTTAGTTCATTTTTCAAATATCAAATATTGATTTGTCAATAAAGGCAGCCTGTCGAAATCACCCTGTCTGTCACAACATCCCACACTGTAAGTAGACTGAGACAGCCATTACAGTCCCAGAGAGTTGACAAAGTATTTGCAAGCTTGAGACAAAAGAAGGGACAATTGTTTGTTGTGAAGACAGCTTACACAGGCCCCACTAAGCATTTTCACCTGCTGGTTAGAAAAATGTCTTTCTTTAATTTTATACTGCCAGTGGCTTTGTCACCTATCCTGAACTTCCAACAAGATGCATGCAATCAGATCGTTTATAAGTTATGTTTTTCCTTCTGATCCTTACTATGTATTAATTCATAATCACACATTATGGAAAACAAATATATCTGCAGTATATTTCACATAGATCACATGAAACAAAAATATAGGTCTGACAATTTAGCATTTCCCTACCTGCTTACTTTATGTTGTACTAAAAATTTCTCATGACTCTGAATGGGAAATTCATCAGTTTTCCAACCACTCTGATTAACGATTATTCTGGCCTCATTTTCCACACACATTATCAATTCTTATACAGTATTACATTCATTGATGTATGTTTTTAGACATTAAAACCATCAGCCTGTTCCGCCCTTCTTCTCTAATTCCTCCTCTCTTAAAAATAAGTTGTAATAAAATAATTTTTCTGTGTTATAGCCTAAAAGGTTATCTGGTGATGTTCAATTGTATTTACTTATCATAAACTTATTAAAAAAGTAGGTATCCATATTCAGCTTTTCCAAAAGTATTGATGCAATTTGTGCAGAAAAAATTAGCCAAATGGTTTTAGAAAGTTTGCTCTGTTGCATAAAGTGATGTTGCCACACTCTGATTTGTTTCACAATCACTCGAGAGCACCATTCAGGAGAGACTTTATTTTTTTCTTGGAAACATAAAAGCAACCTTATTAGAAAGTAGGTTAAAAGATTGGTACATTTGAAATGATATTTAAAAATTTAGGCTTAAGTCCTCAGTAATGTACGTTTCCTAGTTCATTAATGCAGAAATACTGCACATAGATTTTAATCTTGGAGTTAATAATAAAAGCAATTTTCACTAAAAATATAAAAACTGTAATGGTAGAATCATGATATTGCATTTAGCTCTCCCACAAAAAGTCACTTTATTACTTTCTTTTGACACTTATTTTCATTCTGGGATTAATTTTACTATATAAGGGCTTCTTAACTATTCTATTAAAATTTCTATTCAGAAGCAATAATATCTAAGAGTGAATAATAGTCATGTAAATCATTATTTCATATTAATGTAAAAGATTTTGTAAGTTCTTATGAATTCTGCTGACATGCACAATTGTGAAAAGGTTATCTCTCCGTTCTACAGTGATATGCGCTGGAACAAAGGAACCATTCTAAAAGCATCGGTGGAGTACATCAAGTGGCTACAAAAAGAACAACAGAGAGCTCGAGAATTAGAACACAGACAGAAGAAATTAGAGCAGGCTAACAGGCGACTTCTACTCCGGATTCAGGTTTTTATAAGAACGTTGCAATGAACCACATAGCTTACGTATGACTTATCCATCATCAATTTTATTCATTGGTCTCATTTTTTAAGTTAACAATTATTTTTCTTTCCGAAGGTTAATTTTATTGTCTTTTAGATGTTCATGAATTGGGTTCTTCCCATTTGTTTTCGATTAGAAACCCAGAGTTCAGATGATTTTATGTGTGTGTGTATAATTGCGTATATACAATAAATGAAAAAAAAAGCTAAGTATAAAATGTAGAAAATAGAACTCAGTTCATAAACGCACACGATCTCATTCCAGCTTAAAAAAAAAAAAAACTAGGTAGAACTTTTTTTTTTTCTCTAGATAATATGGAATGCTAAATTGTCCCCCCCCCTTTTATTTCTTTAGTAACATTGCTATGGATTTCATTGTCTCTAGGCATATTGTACCAGTTTATATTGTCACTCCTCGTCTGTTCATCTGACACAAAATAAGGAAATATGGGGTTTTATAATTCACAAGTTTTTTGGTTTTGTTTTTAATGTGAGCATGCTTACAACCAAGTAAAGCATTTACTCTGTTTTCTTGAAATGGTCCTGAATTATGGTGAGAAATTAATCAAGAAGAGTAAGTGAAAGATATTCCACCATCTCCAAAGGGATGTATTGTAGTCTGAGCTCCTGTTGAAACAGAATAGATGATGAATTCCTTTCTAGAGCAATGAGAAGAGAATTTTAAAAAACATAAAGAATTTTCTCAAGATTACTTTTAGGCATTCGGAACATATGAATGCCTAAAATGATCATACGAATACGGTTATTTGCAAAAAAAACATATTTATAATTTGCATTTCTCTTCATTTTGAATGCCTGTTAATATTTTGGTTCCATTTTTGCTTTATTCTTTAGAGTTGAGTCCACTTGGAAAGGCATTATTTAACAATTCTTATTTGGCATTGCAGGAACTAGAAATACAGGCTCGTGCTCACGGTCTGCCAACCCTGGCTTCACTTGGCACGGTTGATTTAGGTACTCAGGTCACCAAACAGCAGACCCATCCTGAGCAGAATTCAGTAGACTATTGCCAACAACTGACTCTGTCTCAGGGGCCACGCTCTGAACTCTGTGATCAAGCTATTGCCTTCTCTGATCCTTTGTCCCACTTCACAGATTTATCATTTAGTGCCGCTTTGAAAGAGGAACAAAGATTGGATAACATGCTACTGGATGACACAATATCACCATTTGGAACAGATCCTCTGCTCTCTGCCACTTCCCCTGCAGTTTCCAAAGAGAGCAGTAGGAGAAGTAGTTTTAGCTCCGATGATGGGGATGAGTTATGAGGAATAAACAGGCTCAATTCATCTTCTGGGAACTACCCTGTGCTGGTGCTATGCAGTTATGCTCTGTGTTTCATATATTGCTTTGGCTCAATTTTTCTGAAAGGAATATCTTGACCATGAAAAGCTGGTTGATTAGAAGCAAGAGAAGAATTTACAGGAAGAAAAAACAGAGTGTTGAAGAATTAGTGAGGGCTTAAAAAGAAGATGTTTTTCTCGTTGACTGAAGAGTCCCAAACTACTTAAATCTTGTTTTTCTGGATAGAGGTACAACGAGATACAACTCTCTATCTACGTTCTAAAAGCAGCAGCTTGGTGATGTACCATTGCAACTAACAGATTGCCAAGAGCGAGTTGACTGAAATACACAAACCTCCTTCGTCATCCACTTTCCTCTTCTAGTCAACTCTTACAACATCAGTTTTCAAGAATTAAAATCAGCAGATCTGCAGCCACTGCCTTGCTCCATAGTCTGATGGCCATGTGGTTTAAAGGTGGGAACAATTACAAAATCGATGTAGTATGTCACTTGCCATTGAAAAGTGAATCTGTAATAAATATAATTTTTCACAATAAAATACAGAAAATATATAAGAACATTGGTTCCTCAAATTAGATTCTATTTTTTTTAGTTAGTCCCATTATACTAATTCTAAAAGCATCCTTGCATTTTTATGTCTCCATGCTGTCTGTTCAGAAAACAGAGACACATTTCATCAAAACTATAGACTGGCATTCTATCCCATCATGTAAACCCACACACATGCAAACATGCCATGTAATACATGGTTTTTTAATTTCATTCTTCTGATAATCTAATTGGCATCAGAAATCACATTCAAAATTTTCTTTTTATCACAAAAAAAAGAGATGACAGATAATCAATGTAAGTAAGTAAATTATAAAAGGTCCTCCCACAGGGATAATTTGTCTGTATTTAAAGTTAATCGTCATGTTCAATTTTGGCCATAGATTAGTTGTTGAAATGGTATTGCTCCAAATTGACAAAATACCGAAAACTGGATTGCCAATTGATGAAATAACTAGCATGACAAACTATTTCTTATTGCATTCAGCTATGAGTAAAATATAAAGTTCTACTCCTATAAGTACTTCAAGTGCCCTGTGGCCATTGTTTTCTTTGTTGACATGTATTGCAATCATTTATATCTATAATGCTTTGCTCAGCTTTTTAATCTCTTGAGCCTGGGAACTGAATTGAATTACCAAGTACATTGCTTTGTTCTATACCCTTTTGGGTGATCTTCTGATCAATGAGTATTTGTATAGGGATATCAGAACTTCAGTGGATCTTATGAAAATATAGATCAGATGAGCAAGTATAATCTTATTCCTCAGGGAGCTAATAAGATTGCAAGAGAAACAACAAAAGTTAGAAAATATATAGAATTGGTTACATGTCCCAGAGTAAGCTGTAAATGCAGGTCAAAGAAAATGAAATGAATGACAGTTGCAGAATCACAAAAATCTGTGAAGATAGTAGAACTTTTAAAACTATAAACAAGGTGAAAGAGAAGACATATAGGGGAATACTAGTTGAGTGATAAAAGTGAGGTTAAGTTGTGTAGTGATCCTCATGGGACATTCGATGGAAAGATCTGGGTTCCCCAGAAGACATCCGTTGGGAAATTCTAAAAAATATTGGCAACGAAGTAGTACAGACCATTGAAAATTAGGATGAAATGATACAGTAGATGTGAAATCTTTTACCAGAAGGGAGAAGCCTAAGAATTAAAATGCTTATTACTAACTCGAGTGAGATATAAACTTTGGGATACATTTTTGAAATTATTCTGTCAGGTATTTTTCACATGGAAATCGTGTCATCACAAAATTTGTGAGCTATTGCTGATGAATGTGGGAAAATATTAAATGATTATGGTATATTTGAGGGCTTAATTTACATCATTAGGTCAGATTTTAGAGAATTAAAATAATTTTAATTTTTTGAGATGGAAAAATAATTGTTTAATTCTTAGGAATAGTTATTCTCCATCAAAACAAAATAAAGAAATTCATTTGAAATATGGCATGTGAAAGAGAGCATTTAGATACATTTTCTCAGTAATTTTCAAGAGGATATTATCTACTTTTACTTTTATGACAAAGTTCCACTCTATTATCTAATATAAAACGTGTCAATGTAGATAGAGGCTGATTTTTGTTCTTATTTAATCAACACTTATTTCATCAACTCCTTACATTTTGAGAAGTCTTGCACTGGTGATATTATTTTCTCATAATTTTCCATTCTGTTAAAGCACTATTACTCAGCCCTGAAACCTATTCCTCATAATCGTGGCTGACGTAGGACTTGGCACTAGATGGTAGAATGTGGACACAAGGGATCTGGAGAAGGGAGTAATATTTGCTGCTACATTTAGATTATAAGATGTTAGGGAATTATAAAATGGGTAATAGGTTTTAAAAGACAGAGTAAAGGGTGATGCTGTGTCTCAGTCAACTGAAATAGAATAAAAATTAATTAGATAGTAGTTCTTAACTTTTGAAGACATGGACCCCTTGGGAACTAGTGAAAGTTATAGCCCCTCTGTCAAGAAAAATGTAGAACTGTGTATATAGACAATAATTCGTATGCATCAAGATGCTTTAGGGACCTCTGAATGTCTTTTTAGATCCTGAGTGAAAAATTCCTGCACCAAGTCTGTTACTTTAGTAGGTAGTGACTTAGCTATATATCTATCAAGAGAGAGGTGTTCAGTTAATGTCATATGTAACGATGGTACAGAGAATCCTACTTACCTGATTAACACTTTCCCAATCCTAATAGCAATGAAGTTGCATAGGAAGTGTACCCGACACCAGGCTGGCAACTCTAAAAGTTATTTCTTATAAAGTAATTTCATTTCAAGCATCCATTCCCTACTCAACAAATTACATCTCCTGTGTGTTATATATTTATGGGTCAGTTTCTGGTCACTTTAAATTATAAACATCGACCACAACATTTTGAAATTATGCAAATAAATTCTGAAGTAAAAATATTTTAAATTCTATGGGACCAGCAGTTAGCATAATGGCTATGTTGCTGGACTCCCATGTAGTCGACCGCAGTTCGAGTCCCAGACCCGTTGGCTTAAACATGCCAGGTGCGTGTGCGTGTGTGCCCAAGATCCCGAGAGGAGAATGGAGGAGAAGGGATTACGGTGTGGCCATCCCCCCTGGGGGGTGATTTCTTGCTTTCTGTCTCTATGTCTCTCTCTGTCTGTCTGGCAAGCGCACGCGCCCTATAGCGAAAAACCTCTCCAAAAATTTAAATTCTAAAGCAAATTATATGTGTATGTAGGAATCAAGGGGAAAATTGATGAATATCTAGAATATTTTACATAAATGAGACTTTTCATAACAGTAAGAGAGGCATATCATCTATCAAACTATTTTATCACAAAGCATCAACTATCACAGGAGTATTAATACACTCTTAATCAAGCTGATATTTATTGACCTTATGATATCTAAGATGTAGATACTGCAATTGACTAATCATTTTCCTGTGTTACCGGTGCCATACTATCTGTGTTTCTTCAAAATATCTGAAGGATTGAATCTTGCTTCAGTATTGATAATAGCATATTCTATATATGCTATGTGAAATTACATCATTTTTCCCTCCATTACTTTCTATGTTGAAGCTTTTCCATTTGAATTAGTGTACACTATATATACAGAGATTTAACTACACTTAATAAATATTAAACATATTTGGAATGTTTATCTAATGTGGCACACGACCTTCCTATAATCATTATTTTGATAGAATAATTTTTCATTATTTATGTATTTTTATTTAAAACCAGGGAAACTATTCAAAAATTGAGAAACATAGTCTTTAAAAAATATATTTTTCTGTGCTACATTTTCGTTGTGAGGATCATAGAGAATTTGAGTGTATAGGAGATTATCAAAAAATAGTTATTTTTTGTTTTAAAAACTCTCTGATTCCACTAATTTCATGATGAAATACTGTCTACTGCTTTAAATATTAAAAGGAAATTTTTGTTATCTTATAACATGACTTATATGTGTATTTATACATAATGAAATTATTTCTATTGTGATTTTTTTGTGATGACAGCCTCTGTAAAACTTCTTTTTCCTGCATAACCAAACAGGCTTAACAAATACAATTAAAAAGTTTTTTGTTTGTGATATTAACTTGCCTAGTCTGCACTACCTTTTTATTTCAAGTATTCTATATTCTCAACTTTATTTTTCCCACAGAAATAAATTTTTTTTGCGAGTTATTTCAAGTTGAGAGTTATATATAGGAAACAAAATATACAAAGAAAAAGGGAACTCATTCTTCTGAAAGAATTATGTGTAATCAGAAACATATATTGCTTTTTAAAATATGACTACTAAAGTTCGATAGCAAAAAAAATTCAAGGTTCTTATCTAAAAGCAAATCAGTTGCTTATGGCATACAAGACTAAAATTAATTTAACTATTTAATCTTAAGAATAACAATGTGGTTAAAAATCTTTGACATTAATAGCATTTTATATATATGAATAGCTGAAGTGACATTCTTATTTTTTAATCTAACATTGGTTACATCAAGAAAATGTTGTTAATATAATAAGACTGTAGATTTTGTAATTATTGCTATTTTTCATTTTTAGTAACAACTAATGTGTCTCATTTTCTAAGAAAATGAAGAACATTGGTGTATGTTAACACATATTTGAATCTTTGTACAATACCTTAAGATGTACCAATATTTTCTTGACATATTAAATAAAAAATATAATTATTAAATGTGTTAGTATACTTTTATTCTGCCTTTTTATATGTATTGTACTGGAAAATACAGAATGTGAGTTAATCCTTTGAAAGGCTAGCTAGATATGAGATTTTACAACCAACAACTGCTTACCACGTACTCCATGTTGAAAATGCTGATCAAATATTTCTCTATTAAAGAAAATAATTGTTATATTCTCTAATACAGCCTCCTGCCATCTGTTTCTCCATGCTGTTATGGCTATGATTTATGGAAAATATTTATCAAAATGTTGTAGAATTGCTAACAGGCATACTGATAGCAGTGAAATCACTAAGAAACTCTACACAACCTTTTAATATACTAGATGGTCCCCAGACAATCTAGGATAAATAGAATATTTTATTTTAATATGTAAAGCATTTAAAGCTGCTAATTGGTATTGACTAGACATATCCCTTGGTAATAAAATTAATAAGAATTTCAGTTAAGTGTTAAGAATTTCTAATATTTAATACCACATATGTAGATGTTTTTCCTTCTATACCTGGTTTGAAAATGATGAAACAGAACTTCTCTGAGTTAACTATAAAGAATGGTATTCTATTTTCAATGTATGTTCATTAATTTCTAAAAGGAGCTACTGCATAAATATTTTAAAAATATTATAAATGCCAAAAGTTATGGTCAATGTAATAATTTCTATGTGGAAAGAATAAT